ACTGGGATTTGCGGTAGTTTCTTTTGAGATAGGGTCTTGCAAACTGTTTGCCTGGGATCCTCCTGATCTCTGTCTCCTGAGTAGGTAGGATAATAGGCATGAGCCACTGGTGCCCTGCCTCTAAAAATGTCATTTTTATTGGGACATAATAAACTGCCCTCACCCATGAAAACACACCACAGCTGAGATACAGAACCTCCTGTCGCTTTCAAAAGCTTTCTGGTTTGGCTTTATAGGTCATCCTGCCTCATGCTCTGTCCTGTAGACTTGCTGTTGGCTCTTCTTTGTAGGTTGTAACATGCTTGCTTTGGTTTCTGTGTTGAGAACGGATTGTAGGAGGGGAGGCCAAGGGTTGGGGGAAAATGGTGATCTGTTTACTTTTAGGTGAGAATGATAGGGGCTTGACCCAGCCTGGGTACAGTAGAGATGATCCTGGATAGCTTTTGATGTTAGTGCTGACAGGAATTACAGATAGTCAAGTGTCAAATTTGAGAATGATGGGGAAAGATGAGCTTGAGGCTTTTTGCCCGGGCCAACTCAACAAAGAGATGACACTGCCATTTAATACAGGCTTTGGGGTGAGCAGATTGAGAGAGAGGGGGAGCATCAAGAGCTCTAAGCTCACAGGGCCTCTAGTCACATAACTGTCTTGCAGGCAGATGTGTGTAAGACGTGGCATTCAGTGAAGAGGTATAGTCGGCTACAGATGCAAATAAAGGGAGTTTTTTTTTTTTTAAATATATCGGAGGTATTTATAGATATTGGACTGGAGGCCATCACCTAGAAACTAGGTATAAATAGAAAAGGGACGAGGACTGGAATGTAGCTCAGGTGGTAGAGCATGAGGCCCTAAATTCAAACCCTAGTGCCAACAACAACAGAAAAAAAAAAAAAAAAAAGGAAAAAGAAGTGCCAATTTTGCAGCTCGCCAAACATGTAATGATTTCAAGGGATCTGATGAAATGGTGTCTGTTGATAAACAAGTATCTATACATATGAAGGGATGGCAGCAATAATGATAAAGTTGCGGTAAGAAAGTTTGAGAAGCTGGGCTGGGGATGTGCCCAGTGATACAGTGCTTGCCTTGCCTAGCTTGTAAGAGGCCTGGGTTTGATCCCCAGCACTGAGCCCTCCCCTTCCCCCCTCACAAAAAAAAAAAAAAAAAAGGAAGCACCAACTTGCATATGCTTTTGTTAAAATAGTTATTTGATGAAGTCCTTAGGTTTACCATGGGAAGAATAGAGATAGTTCCTACTGCCCACTCCTGAAGAAAAGAGGAATCTGGGGAGAGGGAGGCTTAGGAACATACTTGTGTATGTTGCATGTTTAAAACGAGGAACAAGTGAACCTGTAAGTGACCATGAGGAGGCAGAGACCCTGACTGAGAAAAAGGCACAGAGAAGACATTATACCAGCAAGTTCTGCAAAGCTCCACCCTTGAGGGCTTTGATTGAGATAGCATGGTAGATAGAATCAACCTTTTTTTTTTTACTGGGTCTCACTGCATTACCCAGAATGGCCCCAGACTCGCTATGTATCCCACTCTAACTGCCTCTTCCTGCCTCAGCTTCCTCAGTGCTGGGATTACAGGCATGTACCACCATGCCTCATAGAATCACTTCTGTTAAGTTGTCAGAAATATTGACCACTGAATTAACATTTATAAGATATAATTACACTGATAATGCAACAATCTGCAGATGAAAAGGTACATGGGGTACTGCATTGTGTAACTTGCCTGGTTGATTCTGTTTCTTTAATTGAAATGTTTTCTTCAAGCCTTCTCCAGAAGAGGTCAGCAGAATCCCAGGTACCAGTCAGTGGTCTTTTGTGCTTGGCTGGCTTGCCTTGTTTTTCTCCTTCATTCTTTTTCGTGGTTTTGTGTTAGATTTGTCTTTGGGCTTCACTTCATTTCATTGACAAGTTAAAATTAGGGTATTTATTTGACTACCAAGTTTTTGTATAATGGAGAACATTTTGTTTAAAGTTCTGGTTTAGTCATTTGTAATGTTTTCAGGATGACATGTTTTTATTTGGGTGCTTGAAACTTAAAGCTTGATAAAAATACTGTAATTGAAGTAACTAAAGTACTTAAGTGCTTTTGTTTTGTCAATACGGAAAGTGTAAGAGGTATAAAATATCATTTTGATTTTTTAAATTTAAACATTACCTTAATTTTCAGGATCTGGAAAGATACAGTATGTCTGTTGTTTTCTAGTCCATTTTTTACATCTCTCTTCAGGTTGATTCTCCATTTAAGTTAGGTAGAATCCTTAAGATTAAATCTAAAGACCAATTGTTCCATCTCTCATTTAAAATAAAACAGCCCCCACCACAACAAAAACCCAAGCAAACAACAGTGCTTTAGTTGTAAATTAAACTTTTTTCTTCCCACTGGTAGTTTTTCTTTTTCTTTTTTGAGCCAGGGTCTCAATATATGGCCAGGACTGGCCGTGAGCTCAAGATCTCTTGCCTCAGTGTCCCTAGTGCTGGGATTATAGACGTGTGTGCCATGCCTGGCTAGTATTTTCTTATTACCCTTCCTCTCTGCCTTCCCACTGTTCTCTTTTCCCCTTCCCTCCATCTCTCTCCAGCACTGTTAATTTCTTCTTTTAAAAATACTCCAATTAGAGCTGGGCATGGTGGTTCACACCTGTAATCCCAGGACAGAGGAGGATAGCAAGTTCTAGGCCTGCTTGGGCTATGAGACCCTATCTCAAAAAACTACTACTTCTAGGGCTAGGAGTGTACTTCAGTGGTAGAGGGCTTGCCTACCTTGTGTGAAACCCTCAGTTCGATTCTTAACACTGCAAAAAAAAAAAATCCATTCTGTTCATTTTGTTCATAGTCTCTATTTATTGCAAATATTTGGCGTAAGTACATGTGGTATACACTGGATTTGCAGTATTCTGCATTCTGTGCAGGTATGCACATAAAGTAATACGTGCTAATGTGTATTACCACTAACACCGTGGCATATACTTCGTACTTGTGAGTCTTGGCTACTCAGAAGGGAGAGGGTGGGAGTGTCTCAAGTTTGAGACCAGCTTGGGGAAATGTATTGAGACCCTAGGGTCAATACAAAGAAACAAACAGCCCACCCTAATAAAACAGCCACACAGGGCTGGGGATGTAGCTGAGGGGTAGAGCACTAACTTGTCTGGCATGCTGAAGGCCCTGGCTTTTATCCCCAGCACTGCAAAAAACAAAAACCCCAAAGCCTATATACCTTAAACATTTTAGCTGAATAGCTACATGAATACTAGTAATGTGCGTTATATTTGTCTGAAATCATACTTTGGAGTATAGAGTTAGTTGGCTTCCCCAGTCATATTTATTGAACAGACCATACTTACAGTGTATATGTAGTATGAATAATTGTTTGCAGTTACTTATTAGACGCGAGAACTTGTAGACAATTGAAAACCATTAGAAGGGTCTGGGGTTTGGCTCAAGAGGTATGACACTTGCTCTGCTAGCTCAAGTTCCTGAGTTCAGTCCCCAGTACTGCAAAAAGAAAACCAGATATATCTAAATACATAGATCTTTAGGCCTCATGCTTGTAAGGCATCTGCTCTATTGCCTGAGTCACTCTGCCAGCCCTTTTGCTCTGGCTATTTTGGAGATGGGGTCTTGTGAACTTATTTGCCTGCTAATCCTTCTGATCTCTGCCTCCCAAGTAGCTAGCTAGTATTGAAAGGCTAGAGCCACCTGCATCTGTCTTATTTTATACTTTTTATTTTCAGTGTTTTATTGTACACTTCTGTAGTACATCCTTATTTTCTAAAGACTTATGTTTAGCAGTGTTTTAGAAACTGTGAACCCGATTTTCCTAGAAACAAGTTTTTACTGTTACTAGGGAGGAATTATTTTGGTTTGCTGCTGTGTGGCTACCATCTGTTCGGTGGTTGCTGTTTCTTTTGGGAAACACGGTGCTGCTGACACACACAACACGGAGAGCTGGTTGTCTTATATATGTCTCACAGTTTGGGAAGCCACCTTCAGTATGAGACTGAAGTTTTCCAAGGCAGAATAATGTTAAAAACAAAACAAATGAGGCTCAACAGGCCAGATCCTAAAGAATTTTTTGCACCAGACTGAGTGATGCTATCGTATGCCCTCAGGGAACCTTTGGAAGGTGCTAGTTAGGAAGACAATGCCATTGAGTTTGTTCTTTGCAGTGGAGAATGGGCCTGGGGTCTTGAGAATGTCCACCAGTTTGGAGACCTGCACATGATAGCTGTAATAATAGGTAGGAGAAAGTATGTTAGTAGTAGGTTTTAGTTTGTATGTTTTCTCACCATAAATGCTAAAAGGTTTTTATTGGACTTTGAACATCTTCAAGCTCAAAAAAGTTTTTCTGAATTCAGTTTTTTTTTTTTTTTTTAAGGATAGATTTCTAAAAGAATCACTGATTCTATTTTTTTGTTGTTTTGTTTTTTGCAGTACTGGGATTTGAACTTAGGGCTACGCACTTGCTAAGCAGGCACAGCTTTTGCTCATTATTTTGGAGATTTGGTCTCACCCGGTCCTCCTGTCTTACAATTCCTGAATTAGCTGAGATGACTTGCACACCACCACACCCGCCTTTTTACCTTTGCCATGGTCTCTCAAAAACTTTATTTTGCTTTAATACTCGATCCTCCCAATCTTAGATCTGCGCCTAGCTTAATTCATTGTGTACTAAATACTGCTGTAAGTTGTGTGGTACAGACGTCTATGAGGTAAGATTCCTGTATCTGAGGTTTTAAGTGTTAAAGTGTTAAAGGAAAGAAGGGTTTGAAGGGTTTGTTGGGCAGGCGCTCTACCACTTGAGGCAACTGTCTCCCAATGAAAGGTTTAGTGCTACAGAACAGGGAAGATATGGTGATGTCTCGTCTAGAGTGTGGACACTTTAAGTTCTTGATTAGGAGCAAAGATGTGGTTGGTTTTGTTTTTTAGCAATATAGGAAAATGATGTTTTACAAACTGCGTTTGATTTCTTTTTATGTCATTATTAGGTAATAGCTAAGAGAAAAGAAGATTCTGGAAAGATAAAACTTTTGCTTCATTGGATGCCTGAAGACATGTAAGTATTTGAAATACAATGTGTCACTAATAGTCTTGTCTTTTTATTAAAATTGTAAGCAGAAAAGTATGTAACTTATTAAAGGAAAAGAAGAACTTTAGGAGGTGGGTCTGTGACTTGGGTAAATTGGATAGCATGTGCAAGGCACTGGGTTTGACCCCCAGGAAGGGAGGAAATCAGAAATTAAACTGTGCAATAGTTTAAGTTGTCAGGATTGAAGAGATAACTGAAAACTAGTCTCAATTTATAAGCTTTTACCTTTTTTTTTTTTTTTTTTTTTTGGCATTACTGGGGTTTGAATTCACTTGCTAGGCAGGCACTCCACCACTTGAGCCACTCCATCAGCCCTGTTCTGTGTTGGGCATTTTCCAGATAGGGTCTTGCAAACTATTTGCCCAGGCTTGCCTCGAACAACGATCTTCCAGATCTTTGCTTACTGAGTAGTATAAGCCACTGGCATCCAGCAGCTTTAACTTTTTGATTTTTAAACTTATTTTGGAGATAAGGCCTTGCTATGTAGCCCAAATTGGCCTTGAAGTCTCCGTCCACTTGCCTCAGTCTCATCCTTCTTTGTGCTGGGATTACATGCATGTGCTACCACATCTAGTTTATGCTGATTACTTCTTTTCTTTTTTCTTGGTACTGGAGTTTGAACTCAGGGGCTCAGTGCTTGCTGGGCAGACGTCTACCAGTTGAGCCACTCTGCTAGCCTGAACTCTTAACTCTTGATCCTCCTGCCTCTGTCCCCAGAGCAGTAGGATCACATATATGTCACCATGTCCAGGAATTTTTTTCCTCTTTTTTTTTTTTTGTTTGGTGTTCCTGGGGTTTGAACTTGGCCTTGTTTTGTGAGGCAGGTGTCCCAGCCCTTCCCCCACCCCCTTTGGTAATTAATTAATTATTTTTTTGGTGGTACTGGAGTTTGAATTCATGGCCTCACACTTGCTAGGCAGACGCCCTCCACTTGAGCCACTCTGCCGGCCCATTTTTGTGCTGTTTTTTGAGACTAACAATTTGCCTGGACTGGCCTCAAATCCTGATCCTTCCCATCTCTGCCTCCCAAATAGCTAGGATTATAGATGTGCACCATTGCACCTGGCTTGGTTTTTTTCTTTCTTGGAGAAATTTCCTTTCAGATTTTTACCAAGTCAAACTCAAGCATAAATTTTACTTAGTGAGTTAAAAACCTGGCAGTGTGTTATGGCTTTGCCACCCAAAATTTCTAATTCCTACTAAATTTATGTTTAAACTTTAATGCTGCCGTTGTCATGTTGTGCTACCAGATTGATGGCTGGGTGTCCTTGTCTCAGAAACTTGTTAATGTAAGCTGAGAGTGGCAGCACATGCTTGTAATCCCTCCATACAGGAGGGCCAGGAAGGAGGAGTGTGAGGTTGAGGCCAGCCTGTGATAGTGAGACCCTGTATCACAAAAGCAAACAAAAAGAAGCTTGCTAATGTAGCTGGCCCTTTCAGACTAACAGAAAAGACTGTGGAATATGAAGGAGAAACAGTGAATAGGCTTTTTTGGTCAACTTTTTTCTTTTTGTAATTCACAGTCTACCTGATGTATGGGTGAATGAAAGTGAACGACATCAATTAAAAACTAAAGTAGTTCATTTGTCAAAGCTACCCAAAGATACTGCCTTGCTTTTGGACCCAAACATATACAGGTAATTCATTTCTTGACAGTGCTTTGCTTTATGAATTGTAATTTTTAGATTTCCCAAAATTTTGGATAAGTTAGGACTTGTACAAGTAGGTCAAATATCCTTTGTCCCAAATCCTTAAATTTCAGAGGGGTTTTGTTGGTTTGCATGGCCTTGTTTGTGGCATGTTTACAGACATCAACAGTTAAGTGTCTGGAATCCGAGTGTCTAAAGTTAGAGCTCCAGAATCCACAGCCCTTTCTGTGTTGTATAGGTGCTCAAGAGTCTCATTTCTTGGAGTTTCGGATATGGGACAGTCAGCTTGTGCTGAGTTTCAGTTTTAAATATACCTTACTTTTTGGTGTTTTGTCTTAATTAAATCATAGAGTTATAAAACATAAAATCCAGAAATACAATATTTTGGTAAAGTTTACATGCTGGATTTATCTTAAATAGCTTAGTTTATAACAAGTACCTTAAAATTTAATGCCTTTTGTTTAAGTATGTAAATTTTTGTATGTAATCAGATGTTTGTAGACCTGGAAATATATCATCTGTGTCCTAAATATCATATACCTCCTGGAACTTTCAAAAATGTCTGCTCTTCCTCAAACTTTGAAAGAGATGTTTAAGCATCACTGTTAGCAGTGGTCCACATGCTCTCGCTTCTACTCATTGCCTGGTCTCACCTCCATCTTTGTGCTGTGCTCGTGAAGGTGTTGGGGGCAGGGGTGCAGCACTTGTGGCCATTCTAGGTCATTTTGCTAGGAGTTCACACTGCAGCACTGTGTAGTAAGTGTCGCTGGCTTGTTCAGATTGGAAAACTGAGGCTGGCGTTACAGTGTGTGTGTGGCCTCTATCCAAATGGCATATACCAGGGTGATTAAAAAGTGGGAAGTTTTTAAAAGGCACTCAGAGAACTTCATGTATTTGTAAATGGAATGTAGTTTAATACATGTTTTCTGAAAGAATAGACTGGGCAGGAATAAAATGACATGATAATTGATAATCCCCAAATGTATATTTCAACTGTTCTTAAACTAGCTAATTTTACAGAAATATGTAAAAGGGTTCTTTGTATTCCATGAGGCAGTTGTTTGGAGTATTCTATGCCAGGACTGTTAGAATTTGAGATATGCTTCTGAGAGTGGCATTCCTATGTTCCTTGCCTCACTGTGCAGAAACATTAGGAGTCAGGCTCTCCTTACTCCAAAAAAATTTATTTTGACATCCTTTGTTGAAAGTGCTAAGTGTGAAACTTGTTCTCTGTACGTGAGATAAAGTGTTAGGAAGAAATCCTCTACGAGAATATGGGATTTATTTCTGTGGTTCTTTGGGGAGATGAGTAAAACCAGCATCCTAAAAGAGTGATATTTGGAAAGCCATTCTGCCTTTATTTTTTTCTTCTTTATTTTTTGCAGTACTGGGGATTGATCTCAGGGCCTCACACTTGGCTAGGCAAGTGCTCTGTCACTTGAGCCACAGTTCTGCCTTTACAGATGTCTGTAAACATCTCTTAGAATTGACAAAGGCACATGATGTGTGATTCTTCCTTTAATTTTTCTTCCTTTTATCTTATTTATTATTGCTATTCTGGGGTACATTGTGACAAGAGGTGCATGATTCTTAAATTAAGAATGATCTGTTTCTGCCCTGCACCTCTGCATCTGCTTTTCCCTGCCAGGTGCGCCATCCCCTCAAAAAACAAAACACACACACACACTTCCTTTCTTACCAAACTTACATTGGTTGCTGCTGAGCTGTGTAGGAAGCAATTTAAACATTTTAGTGAAAGCGACTTAATAAAATTCAAAATGCCTGGAATTGATGTAAAAGTACATAGGAGTGGAAGTTGGGTATGGTGGTACTTGCTTATAATTCCAGCACAGAGGACAGTGGGGTAGGAGGATTTTGGGCTACACAATGAGACCATGGCTCAAAAAAACAAGATTATGAAAAGTACAGAGGAATGAATGGTATTGGATGTTCTCAAGATGTGTGATTCCACAGTACTTACTGATTTCATTTTCAGGCAGTGAGAATTTTTTTTTTTTTTTTAGAATTTTTCCATATGTTCATTTGGCATCACTTTGCTCTTGCTACAGGTATTCTATCACTTGAGCCACTCAGCCAGCCCCAAAGGAACCAACTTTTTTTTTTTTTTTTTGCTGCACTGGGATTTGAACTCAGGGCCTCATTTGCAAGGAAGACATTCTTAATACTTGAGCCACTCCACCAGCCCTGAGAATATTCTTAATGCATTATGTGCTGCTGCTTTGGGTTTATTTTATTTTTGAGACATGTAGTCCTCCTGCTTCAGCATCTAGAGAGCTGATTACAGGGGTGCACCACCTGGTACCAGGAAAACCTTTAAGATTTAATTTTGAGTGTACAAGCTTTTGTGCTTCTACCATTCTAGAAGTCAGACCAGAGTACTGTCAAGTGGCACAGGCAGTCTCAGAAGCCCCATCACACCATTTGCTGAATGTCTGAATTTTGACGTGGAACACCTGTGAAATTAAGCAAAAGGGAGGGAAAAACTGTTATTCTTAACTTTTTTTTCTTGAGAAATAGTTTATGTCAAAATGAAAGCATGGCAAATTGTTCAAAATATACTTAAGCTCAGATGATCCTGAAAAGAATACATCCTCATTCAGGCTTTCCCCCCCCTTTTTTTAGAGGGGTGGTTGTGCTAGGGGTGACACTCCTGGTCTTTTTTGTTTTAGCTGGTTTTCGGATAGGTCTTGAGATTTTTGCCTGTGCTGGTCTTAGACCTCAGTCTTCCTACCTGTGCTTCCCACATTGCTGCAATCATGGCTCATCCTAACCCTCAGCTTTAAAGTGTAGCTGATTAAAGAGCACATGTTAGACATGGAATCCTTGTTAGAACATGGTTCACAGCTTACAAAAAATTAAAAAGGTTTATTAGAAACGTTTTATTATGTAATTAATTTGTATCCCTTACGTGCAAATGTTTTGGCAATAATTTTTTGACCATTTCTTTTTGCTTAAATTTTTTTCCCCCAAGACAGGGTTTTGCCACGTTGCCCAGGCTGTCCTTGAAGTCCTGGGCTCAGACAGTCCCCTGCCTTAGGCTCCCCAGTAGCTGGGTAATAACAGGCTTGCAGCACCACATGGAAGTAACTTTTTAAAATTCCTTTTGTTTTTTGTGGTTCTGGGGCTTGAACTCAGGGTCTTGCACTTGCTGAGCAGGAGCTCTGTCACTTTGAGCCCCTCCACCAGCGGTGGAAGTGATGTTTAATGATCTGGGATCATCAGCTTGCCTGTGCTCTGTGTGCTTTTAATGTTTCTGTTTTGAAGTGCTCAATGTGTTTGAGTCAGTTGAATTAAAGAACATTCCTTTTTCTCTCTTTCTAGAACAATGCCGCAGAAGAGGTTGAAGAGGTAAACAATAGCTAATACATAAAAAGCAAACGAGCGGGGACACCTGCAGTCTTAGTCACTGACAATGGGTTTAGGAAAAGTTGCACATTAGAGTCAACCCCCTTCCCCTCTCCGTCTCTTTCTTTCTTTCTTTCTTTTTTTTAAATCCAGTATTTAGAATAATATTTATGCTTAGTGTGAACATTCTGTGAATGAGTAGACTCTTCTGTGGAATATATTAATATATTACTGTATATCCACATTTCCATGGAATGGCACTGTGGGAGACTGAGCAGACACTCTGTGGCAACTTAGCGGTCAACTTCCTAAGGGCTTTGCATGCTCGCTGCTTTAAGCTGCTTTTTTTTCTTCCCTTTAGTAATGACAGTAGTTTTATTGGAAAGAGAAACAATTGCCCTTACAAATACCAAAAGCACTGTAAGGATATTTGTCTTGACAGTGTCTATTGATTTGAAGTCATATTAGGAAGTATTTAGACTGAAAATTATCAAGAGATAATCAACTTCAGTTCTGATAAATAGATGTGATTGGTTGCCATTTGTGTTCTTTTGCAGAACTCTGATAAGAAAAGTGTTCAGTTTGTATTTAAGCAAACAGTGAACGACATTTGCAATCAACTAAAAATTCGTCTATCGAATTAGGGCTGAAAATTACTGTTAAAGAGTGTTGCCGTATGTCTGGTGGCTCCCTTTTCAGAACTAGGGTTTTCTCATGGAGTACAGTATGTTAATATTTACCTATATAACTAATCTGTTAACGGTTTTTGAAAAACCTCTATTTCAAATTATTTGAATAATCTCCCATATTTTCATTTAACCTATATGACTCTAATTTTTTCTGAGGAAAGCATTTGGTTCTTGAGTTGTTTTTTCTTAATGTAAGAAAAATTGTATTTTTTTTAAAGTATCTTCAAACTGAATCATTTATGCACCAAAGTTGGTTTTGAAAACGAAAATAAAATCACTTTCTTGCTTGTTGAGCAAGAAGCCATATGGAATTTTTTTTAACTTACAAAAATGAAAATATGTGTAACTTGTTAGTATTGTATGAAACATGTTGCATAGAGATAACAGAACATTGCTTGTAAATAATTCAGCAGATTTGTAATATATTTTTATATTATGAAATGTACTGTAGATGTTTTTCTAGAGGCATGAAAGTTAAATGTATATATTATGGTAGAAATAATATTGAAGGATATTGTAACTCATTAGTGCTGCCAGAGGAACTGTTAATCAAGCACCTTCTTTAACAATAAATGTCCTTTGCAGACTTAAGGGGCTATGTACTACTGTTAATATCTGTAAGAACAAAACACATTGAACATCCTTCCAGAAGGTCTTTGAGGAGGACCTGTACCCATAATAGAATTATGGCACTCATTTCTGACAATGGCCAGGAAATGAATGTGTCCTCGCTGTTGGAAGGACATAGTGTAGAGTATATGGTTATGTGCAGTCAAACTGCAGAAGTACTCCTGATTGAGGAGTTTTCACTTTACTACCGTGGCAGGAGAAAAAAAAGAAAGAAAAAAAACCAGCAGTTTTTACACTAAATTTTTTTTTAAAGAATAGACAAAAATATAAAATTAAGCCTTTGGTTCCAAAATGGGAAAGGTTCCATGATGCATAAGTCATTTCTCATTTGCTTTAAAAAAATAAATAACAAAAATTACGTGAGACTTTATTCATTAACAATGGGATGAAAATATATATACATGAAGTGAGTCATAAAATTAGTGAAGTGCAAATGGAAGCACTGCTACTGTTGAGACGTTCTGGATGGCTGTTTAATAAGGGTGTTACCATATGATCTGTAGCAAATGTGATTTTATTTTTAAAAAGAAAAGCAGTGTGTTTTCTTACTAGTTTTTGTTTTCTTTTGCTTAAGCACTTCATCAGTTGCTTTATTCTGTAAGAAGTAATCTGCAATCTCCTTTGTTGTTTTAAAATTTTGGTTTGTTATAAAATTGCCAAATAGAAATGTTTCAGATACATAGTTTGTACCTGTATTTTTATTTTATTGCTTCATGTTCTTGTAAGTCATTCTTAATTGACCAATGATTGTAGACCTTGCTTGAGTATTTTTTTCTAATAAAACAAAGCAAATCACATTTAGCTTCACATCGTAACAATTCAATTTAACTTTAAAATGACACCTGAAAACACACATCAATGCTTTCTTTAGGGGCACAGTGAATAAGTTTTTTCATTGTGTAGCATTCTTAGATGTTAGAACCAAACTTCATGATTATCCAAATTGCCTCACTCATCCTTTCGCTGCTTATCTGACTTGTTTTGATACTGTCATTAGCACACCAAAAATAATATGGAATTAAAGTGAGCAAGTTTTATAAGGTGTATGTATATAATTTACACTCACTTAATTGTGATTGGAAAGTAAGTGGAAGTTTTAATCTGTAATGTTTGTCTATTGATGTTTATCATCTATATTGTTCTTCCTTTCCCCAACTATGACATATTTGTAATGTGATACCTGAAACCATCAGTCTTTCCTCAGAGTCCATGTTTAACAGAGCTTTGGGCAAAGTCCAGCCCACAGACACAGCTGTTGGTCTCCACGCTGTCTGTGCTCTCCCCTGTAGCAGCACAGGTTGGTAGGAAGACCACAGGCTGCAGGCCTCAAGTACTTAACTGGCTGGCCCTTTAAGAAAGTGTTTGCTGATCTCTTGTCTAGGTAGCAAAATAAACGGCATAATGTGCATTTTAATATGATGGTGTTGACTTTGGTGGTAAGCCAGTATGCTAATTTTCTGTGAAAGTTGTTAATACACTTTATAGTAAAAATTGCTACAGGTACTTGCAACACATGGTGTTTTGGGGGACTTTTACATTGAATTTCTTAATAGCTGTTAATAACCCACCATCTCACCATTTGTATTTTTGTATTTTGTTTTACAAAATAGGACTAAATGAGATTTTGTAAATCAGATTATGTTTAAACCATAGGCACATCTACTTTATCTAAAAGAATCTTGAAGTAGAAAATATTGTAAAATTTAAAGTTGTTTATTTTTCTAATAAACTTTTTCATATAAAAATCTTCCCTAAAGTGGCCACACATTACTTCTGAATTCCAAATGAAAGGAAAATAAAATGGATAGTAATTAACCCTCAGTGAATATTTTCAAATTTGTCTTTTTTTCTTTTTCTTTTTCTTTTTTTTGTGGGACTGGGGTTTGAACTCAGGGCTTTGCACTTGCAAAGCAGGTGCTCTACCACTTGAGCCATACCTCACATTTTGCTCTGGCTATTTTTGGAGGTGGACTCTCAACAACTACTTGCCCAGACTGGCCTGGAACCATGATCCTCCTGCTCTCAGCCTCCCAAATAGCTAGGATTATAGGCATTGCCACTGGAGTCTGGCTTTGTGTTTTTCATTGATAATCATCAAGTAAGTACACCTTTTGCTATAAAATCTTTTTCCCCTCTTATATATTATGTATTAATAAAACATTTTAGATGCACAGATACAAAGGAAAAATTTACCACATTTCTGTTGTTGCTTCTTTGAATTGTTAATACATGGTTACCAAAAGAATTAGATTTCTGAATAAAAAATTAAAATGGGAAAATATGGTTGAAGTGTTTAAAATGTTGTGGGGGGGGGGCTTTCTGTTGAGTCATGACTGTAAGACATCTTCATAATACCTCCATGTGAGCCTTCTAAAGACAAACAGGTTCTTAGTGCAGAAGGACTGACACATTTATCTGTATGGCCAGGGGTGAGATTTAGAACCTACAAGGAGGTGATTAAAACAACAGTCTATTTATAAAAGAGTTAAGTCATATGCCATCTGTGAGTGCCCTCTCTCCCCCGCTCCCTTTTTTTTTTTTTTTTTTTTTTTTGACAGAAGTGGTACATTGAGGGATTTTTGTTTTTTTGTGTTACTGGGGTTTGAACTCAGGGCCTTCACCTTGAGCCACTCTGCCAGTCCTTTTTTTTGTGTTGGGTTTTTTTGAGATATGATCTCATGAACTACTTGCCTGGACTGGCTTCAAACTGCCATCTTCCTGATCTCTGCCTCCTGAGTAGCTAGGATTACAGGTGTGAACCACTGGGGCCCAGCGAGGGATTTTTAATTTAGAATATTTTTCTATTGTAGAAAATATTGCATAAAAGGATGAAAACTTTGTTTGAAAAGTCTGCAGGTATATATTTTTTTGTTAAAGAACCGTGTGACCTGGCTTAGGACATTTTGCAGTCCTGACACTATAACCTTGATATAAATAATGTTTGCAGAATTCTTTTAATAAAAAAAGGTGAGAATATTCTTGTCGTTTCTAATGGTTATGAGTTTCAGTAGATTGAAAATGTAAGTGTGAAATGCTACAAGTTTTTGTTGTTAAAAGTTTTAAATATTTACATAGTTTGATTTATTTCCTGAATCAAGTTTGCATCTTATCACACATAGCTCTCATGGTCAGCAAGTGAGAGCAGGAATTGTAACCCAGTTTTTCTTTCTAAAGCATGCATTCTACCACTTGAGCCACTCCTCCAGTCCCCAGTTTTTCTTTCTAGATCAGCATTCTTTCCACTGTGCCATACTGTTGCTCACAGTGTGGGAGAGACCGGCCTGTAGTGTCACACTCCTGGGACGTTGTGCTCTGTGTTTCTGCCATGACCATCCATAGCACCATCACACACAGTCCATAGTGGTCTCCAGAGTATTTGTTGAGGTAGTACTACAGATTAGTGCTTGTTGTGATGAGAGAGATGGGAGAATTAACAGGAGTGAGATACTGAGGGTGAGGTAATCTGGCTTAAACTGCATTCTGTAATAGTACCATGTGCCTTTACCACACACACTTTCAAACTGAGATCCTCCTGATCTCTGCCTTGTCAGTAGCTAGGATCATAGGTATAAACCACCAGGCCCGCCTAGGAGACTATTTTAAATAGCTGGGCCTACTGTAGGTGGTTTACTACTACAGGCAGCATTGAGTGTTGCAGAAGGTCATAGGGTTCTCGGCTCATCGCCCCTTGAGTTTTGTAAAGTAGAAGAGAGCCTGATTGGCTGTGTGTTTGATGTGGCATGGTAGGTGTCTGTCTCCTCGTAGAAGTTAGCTTGTGTAAGCTTGTTTGTGTCTCTTCTCCACGTCTTCTCTCAAACCACACCAAGGATCTCATTTCTTTTTCAAGTTGTTCAGGACAGTCTGCACTTCCTTCAGACTTTCTCATAGCACCACGTGTGGTGGTGCACACTTGTCATCCCAGCTATTCCGGAGACGGAGGAAGAAGGATTGCAAGTTCGAAGCCAGCTCTGGAAAAGTTGGGGAACCCTGTCTAAAAAACAATACATAGAAAGCCAAAAGGGCTGGGAGCGTAGCTCAGGTGGTAGAGCTCTTGTCTAGCAAGCAGGAGGTCCCCCCAAAAAAAGTCATAAACATCAGTAGTATTTTCTTAAAATTATGTTGTTAAAAGTTACATTTGCCAAATTGAATAAATTAATCATGTAGAAAATATCCGGGTAAGAGTAAAGGTCATCCTTTCAACTAACAACACTTCCCTGGTTGCCAGATTAACATTTTGTTTAATCTTGCAGAAATTGTGTTCATTTAAATTTGTTACCCAGGTCTGTGATTTTGGACTTTGTTACTTAGGGCAATCACAATAAAGGTTTCTCATCTTTAAATAGCAGTGGAGTCACGTACTATCAATTATTTGAGATTACTTATAATTATATCCCGTAAGTGATACAGCAGTATCCTTGAAAAGATACAAGTTTTTCATTTATTTTTTTGATACATTCTTACTATGTAACCCAGGCTAGTCTCAAATCCATCCTCTTGCCTCAGCCTCCCAAGTGCTGGGATTACAGGTGTGTACTACCATATTTAGCAGAATATTTCTCTGGTGTCATTTCCAGGGAGACTGTCAGCTGGTTTGGGTACAATGTTCACTATAAGTTTTGATACTGCCAAAATGTTTTTCTAAAAAGGGTGCTACCAACAGAAACCCTGAGGCCTGCTATGAGGGCTCTTTCCCCCAGGATACCTGTTTAGGTAGAAAAGTGGTGTGCTGGTTTAAAGTACTGCCTGGGTTGACTGGGTTTTGGGCAAGTTACACTTAGCATTCCTTACATTTCTTTCTTTTGTTTAAGTAGCATGGTCTTAGTCACTTGCCTACTAGGAGTGCCTGTGGGGTTAAAGCGAGATTTAGGGTTCTTTGGAACGACTGTGGATTTGAGAGCCAAATCGTAACCTGAGGTGGGCTGGCACACTGTCGCCAAATGCTTCTGACTTTAGGTTGCTGTTTTGGATTTGTTAAACCGGGCACAGTGGATCACAGCTGGCATCCCAGTTACTTGGGAGGCTGAGATTGGGAGCATCTCAGTTTAATGCCAGCCTGGGCAAACAGTTTGAGAGAACCCCACCTCCAAAATAATCAGAGCAAAATGGACTGGAGGCCTAGCTCAAGGGGTAGAATGCCTGCTTTGCAAGTGCAAAGACCTGAGTTCAAATCCTAGTCCTGCCAAAGAAAAAGATTTGTTAAATAGATACAAAACAGTTCTTAATCTGGGATGTGGTTGGGCAGCAGTCAAGACATTATTTTGGGCAATTTAAAAAAGTGATCTGTTTAATCAGTTTCATAACTATATTTTTTTTCTCTCAGTTCTGGGGATGGAACTCAGGGCTTTGTATGTTCTTCTACAAGTGTGCTCTCTCTGAGCTACATTCCTCAGCCTGTTTTTTTTGTGACAATGTCACAATTAGCTCAGACTGGCCTTGAAAAATCCTCTTGCCTCTGCTTCCCAAGTGCTGGGATTATAGGTATGCACTACCATGCCCAGCTTTATATCAGTTTTATTTTTTGGTTTGTTTATTCATATGTGCATACATTGTTTGGGCCATCTCTCTTTATATCTGTTTTTAAAGTAGTATGTGGCTAAGGATGGAGGTGTCTATATTTCCATGTACTGGAAGTGTTAGGACAAGAATTTCTAGGGAAGAAATTTGCATTTGTACTAGCAGTGTCATTATGAAGTTAACTTTTAGCCTACACAATACATACCTCAATAGAGTTTGTTGATTTTAGAAGTAGATTTCAAGATTTTCTGAGAAGGTAACCCTCAGACTATCAAGAATGAAATAAAGTAAAATATACAGGGAAAAGTTAACAAAGTAAGCATCTTTTCTACTTTTTTATTTTGTGGTATGGGGTCTGAGCTCAGAGCTTACACCTTGAGCCACTCCACCAGCCCTTTTTTTTTTTTTTTTTGGTGCTGGATTTTTTCAAGATAGGAACTATTTCCCTGGGCTGGCTTCAAACTGTGATCCTCCTGATCTCTGCCTCCCTAGTAGCTAGGATTACAGGCGTGAGCCACTGGTGCCAGGCTCAAAATATACGTCTTGATCTCCTGAAATGGGTGCGAGGAATTCCCAGCAGAGGAAATGGCCAGCATAAAAAAACCCATGGAACAGGAACATTTGTTAAGATTTGGTGCACGACTCGGGGTGCTGGAGGTGCACCATTGAAGATAGCATTGAAAGAACCCTGGCTGCGTGGAGCTGGACACCTCACCGTGCGGGGTGTAAGGTAAGGCTGGAGTTAACAGGGAGAGACGTTATCTTTGAGGACACAGGAAACTGTTGGAGACTTGAGCAGAGAAAAATTACCATCTGAAGTATGTTTAAAAAGCATTGCTGTACTCTGAAGAATTAATTTTCCAGGGAACAAAGGCAGAGTCATGAAGAGCAATTAGAAGCCTATTAAAAATCTGGTTTGAGGCAGAAGAGTGATAAAATGTTGGTTTTGTTGTGAACCTAAAATAGGCACTAAGACAGTGAGGTTCGTTAAAAGGAAGAAAGGTTGGCGTTTGGGTATCGTCTGAAGGCAGAGTCGTTGTCAGTTTGCAGGCTGCAGGGCTGTGGATGGAACCTCTGAGGCAGTGACGCCAGGACCGCAATGGAGGAGGCCCCGGGAGGGTGACATTAGTGTTTCACATTTTGGGTGCTTATTAGACATGCAAGTGAGATGAAATGAGGCGGGAATGTATAGTGAAAATGATTTCAGGTAGAAGACTAGGATGTTGTTATTTTTTACTTTATTAGCATTTTTTTGTTTTGTTTTTGGCAGTACTGGGGCTTAAACTCAGGGCCTCACACTTGCTAGGCAAGTGTTCTACCCCTTTAGCCGCACCTCCAGCTACCTGTTTG